GGCGGTTTAAAACCGCCACAAAATGCATTTTTATTTGACATGTTCTGACAGTCGGAAACCGCCACAAAATTGCAGTTCTATTTGACTTGTTTGTCATTTTTTGGCGATTTTACACCGCCACAAAATTCATTTTAATTCTGTCCAATTCAAAGTTTCTGACGATTTTAAAACCGCCACAAAAATACTATTATCATATTTTCCCCGCAACCCCCTACAGTCATCTATCTATTTTCTTCCTGATACATTTAATGTCACCTCTCGATCTTTCTATCTCTCTCTATCACTCATTCATGCACACATGTTCCTGTCGTTGTATCATATTTACTCTTAGGCCCATCATAATGAATTTAGAATCTTTCTTTACCTAGTGAACTAAAGGTGTCAAAGCCCCAGAGAAATGTTATTTTGATGCTAACTAACGATTAACATAGTTGATACCAAAAAATATATATAATTGAGAATGGATTGGGTCAAACTAAACCATAAAAGCTAGTTCAACAAAGGACGATTTTTGAAATAAGACATACTTTGACCCCCAGCCAATGTGGGATCTAAGCAATATATACACGCGCATCTTGTGGTCCCAGTTTCCAGACATTGCTCATTTACCTTTTCCTTCTCAATCTGTTCCTTCAGCTGAGACAGTTCCAACTCCTTCTGATACTATGCACCCAATAACATTTGCAAAGGGAAGAGGAAAAAGAATAATAACAGGTTAAATTCATAACAATTATAAACAAAAATTAATTAGCTAGCTTTAGCAACTTCTAAACCACAAATCTTGAGTGTATAAAAAGCAGGATCATCCTTAACTTAACGCACATTCTCTCTTCTTTTCCTTTCCTTTGTTATTAATTGTTAGTTTAATTAGGCACTTGTAGCACTCAACATAAGTATATGTATATGTCTCCTATGCTATGCTAGCTGTATATAAAATCATAGAGTCATAATCACTCAATTATGTTCCCATTTCAAACGAACCTTAGCTATCCCCAACTCTCAAGGGTCCCAAAATAAGAAAGTCATAGAATCTAAGGCCTAGATTGCATGGGGGCACGTACTTATAGACTACTTTTTCTTACTAATTTATGGGCTCCCTATATCATTCTTATTAATTAATTAAAACAATCACAAGGGAGCAAGTGGGTGCTCCTACATTAACCTATTCTGCATTTCGCATGTAAACGCCTAGCATTCTTGGACTTATCTAAGTTTTGTTTTATGAAAATTCCATCTTATCATGATTCGTGAGTGCAGAATAATTTTTATCAATTTTTAAATACTACATCAATTATATTTATGAAAGAAAAAAAATCAACTTAACACGCTCAAGTAAAATGAAAAATAGTCTCTATCATGAAAAAATATCAATTATTTTATTATATACAATCAACTTATTAAATGTTAAGTATTATTATTTATAGATTGTACATTCTCATCCAAGTCAAGGAGCAATTCTTGATTGACCAAAACAAGTTCTGAACCACTTATGCTAGTAAGTTTTGGTGAAGATAGATGTTATTAATTAATAACACTTAACCATTATAAATAAATATTATATATTTGGAAGAAACAAATACTTTAACTATTTGATATATACAATAATATTTTGACAACAGATGCTGCATAATTTAATGTAAGTGGGAAATGAATTCAATCATATGAAGAGCAAATCAAATTCACAAAAATCTTACGTGTTCTTAAATAGAGTTAAACCAAACCTAGGGAAGTTGTCAAATCCGCATGAATCCCCAATACCACTGAAGAACCACTTAAAGCAACTCCAGAAAAAACTAAATATTTTCCAAGCTACCGAACTTGATTCCTGTAAGATTCTCATAGACAATAGATTAATATATATTAAAAGGAAGAAGATGGAAACAAAATAATCAATGCATAAAAAATTTAGACGGGCTAAAAAGTTAAAGGTGTTGAAGCAGGGGAGAGTTACTAGTAATCCCTCGCCGATCAATCTAGCTACTTACAACACAAATCAATGTTCAAATCATAACCTTTAAATCTACGAGAAAGACATCAGATACACATAATACCGTGTTACACCACCCAGGTAAAAGGAAGAAAAAAAAATCTGAAGTCCATAATGAGATTATACAAATCAGTCATGCATATTTTCCATCTTGATGACTTAAGAAAGTAGTTCTATACAGGTTGTTAAAAATTGTTTACTATGAAGTAAGAATCCAAATTATATATCATCTATTTTATCAGAATGAACTCCTAACATTTTGTGACTTTCATCCATAAGAACAAAAATTAAACCATGAAGATCTCTCTTTTAAGCATTGTGATAGATACCCTATTATAACAAGAGTCTATGTGAGGAGAAAGGAAAGTGATTAAGGACCCACATGAGCAACACAGGTGAGGTACAATGGATATGCTTTCGTTGACAAACGAAGCTTTACATAGCGCTTCCCTGCTTCCCACCAAATTCTCTTGTACTGAAGGTTCACAAACTGCAGTTTCTTAGTCTTATGGTTTGAAAATGATACTTTGTTGGCCCTGTTTGATTTCTTTCCCGTGAAGGGACACACTCTCCCTGAAAAAACAATAAAATCACAGCACTATAAGAATCAATCACCAGGCTGCTAGTTAAAGCTGTTTCAAAATAATGATCACAATTTTAGTTGGATGCCTCACAAACCAATGACTATGTTTAGTGAAGATTCACACCAACAAGCAATAATATTAGTTATGCATGTCAAATAATATTGTTAGTTATGCATGTTCTCTAATTAAAAAGTTAAGAGGGAGTTTGGTTTCAAAAATATATTCTCTATTTTCAATTTTGAATAAAAGACGTCTAGTTACTTTTACTTTATTTTCTGTTTTAAAAAATTTACAGAACAGTGAAATTAAGAAACAAGGAAATTCATAAACAGGAAGAATAAGCATAATTAATTTAGAACAAATTATACCTACATCTCCTGTTGTTTTTTTCGAAATTCACGAGATATTCCTACATTTGTTTTCTTATACTAATCCCCTTTATTGTTTGAAATACGTTATAGTCACACCTAATGTTACTCGAAAAACAAATTACAGCAGGTCCAGTATGCCTATAAGGAGGGTATATGCAAGTTATCTTGTGAATTTCGAAGAAACCACAAGGAGTGAGTGTACAGATCAATTAATTAGGGATAAAACTTACATGAAGTAACATAGATGCAGATAGTATTCTTGTAATTAGATATTTACTTTAGTAATATGCATAATAAAGAATTTGGTCAAATGTTAACGCTTATTATCGATGTAAAACTCTAACTAGAATTGGAGAACAACATCAACAGTAGTACATATAGTATAGTATAGTAGTGCATTTAAGTTTTATCCTGAATTTAGAGAATTGACTTACTGGCAACGATAGGGAGAGGTGGAGTGAGAGTGAGGGGTGTGGGTAGCAATTTAAAGATTCTGAGGCCGCTCAACTGAGAGGTGACGAACCCAAGATCCGCTAAAAAGGGTGAAATGAATCCTTCATTTGACATTTGAGGAAATGAAAATGAAAATGAAAGTGAAGAAGAAGAATTGACTTACAGGGCTTACTCACACCGAAGCTGTTCCTGAATGAAACCGCACAAGTTGCTGCTGCCATTTTGCCTCTGCCTTCATTATCTCTTCACACTTCACTGCCCACACACGCTGCACCCGGATAAGTGATAACATCTATATTCAAACCCTTTTCGTTTTAATTTTAATTTTCCTATTATTATTATTATTATAAAATACTTACATATGTTTATAATCTACAATGATTTTTTCAATAATATTAACAAGTACAAAACACGAACCGGGTTGCGGTGCTGCGAACGATTAAATAGGAGAATGTTAAGAAATGGAAGAGATAATATGGTTTTGAGACCATCCGGTTCAGCCATTGGAACACCTGAACCGGGTTGCTGCTGCTACTTTCCTTTAATACACGAAACCTAGAAAAAGAAACGGAGAAACGGGAAAAAGCGGCTTCCAGTTCAGCACCAGCCAGAAAGCTCACCCAACATTAACCTAGAAAAAGAAAAATACTATAAAGAAATAAAATCACCCAGAAAAATCTCAAAACTACGTCGATAGAGGGAAATGAGAGAATGAAGAGAGAAGATTAAACTTGAGAAGATTCAATTTGGTAATGGTTGCTCCGAAATATGAGAGAATGAAGAGAGAAGATTAACCTTGCCGTCGTTCAGGTTGTGCTCGCCGGAATCGACTTCGCTGAAATATGAGAGAATGAAGAGAGCTTTCGAGAACTGAGAGAGAGAACGAGGGCTATGGCTGAGAGACTGAACGGCGAACATAAATTGAGAGAGGGGTTTCAAAATCAAATATTGAATTTTCTTGGGCTCAATCCCACCGTTTACAAAATGTCCACCCCAAATAATTTTTCGCGATCGTAGATCCGGCGGTTAAACGCGGGTAATGCAATTTGTGACAGTTTTTAACTGCTAGAAACTGTCAAAATAACTATCACAAATCACAAGTGGAAGGGGGTGTGGGGGTGTGGGAAAGGGGGGTGTGGGGTGCGGAGAAGAGGGGTGCGGGGAACGGGGTACGGGAAAGGGAGGTGTAAGTTTAGGAATTTTGTTTTTTAAGGGTAGTTTAGACATTTTATATATATATTTTTTAAAAGAGGGTGTGTTTCTGCCATATTTATATTTGCAGGCCACCCAATGGATTTGCGGTGTATAGCGCTTCATAAAGCCCACAAAATCGGCTTCCAATAGCAGGGTCTTTTTACTGTTACTATCATCACTTAATTTGGTCTGCTATATGTCATCATAATCTTAAATTCCTTTAATACCAGTGCAACCTTTAATAACATTTTAAATATAAAAAAAAACCAATAATCCGGAGTTTTTTTTTAATTATTATTTTTTTAAAAGAATAAGAATTATACAATTTTCTTCACAAACTTCTTGGGGTTTCTCCTGTAGACTTTTAAAATATATAAAAGATATACATCTATATTAATTATAATAATAATAATAAGAAGAAGAAATATACTTATTCTAAGAATTCAACAATCACAAAAGGCATATTTATAGATTTGACATCTAATTGAATTATAAAAATAAAAAAAACTCCTTTATGAAAATTATAAGAATTCATAATTTATAGTATTTGAATTTTAATTGATCCTGAATTTTTAGTCTGTAAATCTATTTATATTTATTTCACTTAATAATTTATATTTTATATTAAATTTAATCTATTAAATTAAAAGTTCTTAATACACAAAGAAAAGATTCACTTATTCTAATATTAAGTTTACCTAAACTTAAACTTACTTTATTCGATAACTGATGTTATATATCAAATTTTAAGGATTTAATTATAAAATTAAAAATTATTAATGTATAAATCAAGTATGTAAATTTTGAAAAATTTAAAATTATTTGATATTCTGTTTCATTAATTCAAATCAATATATAAAATACTTTATAATTATTCATCAATTTGAATTAATAAAACAGAATAATATTAAATAAATTATTTTAAAATTACAAACTTGATCTATGAATTAAAAGTTATCAATAAAGTATTTTATATCAAAATAAAGGGTAAAATTCAGAAAAGAAATATTTTAATAATTACCAACCATTATTAGATTTTCACAATATTATAAACGAAATTACTATATATCAAAACAAATGTATCAAAATAAAGGGTAAATTTTGGATAAAAATATTTGAATCACTACCGATCATTATTAGATTTATGCAATATTATAAAATAAATTGTTATAAAAATAATTTTAAAAACTATATATCAAAACAAATACATCAAAATAAAAAAAAGGATAAAAATATTTAACAATTACTAATCATTATTAGATTTATGTAATATTATAAATAAATTACTACCAAAAATAATTTTAAGAAAGAAAATATATAAAAATAAAGGGTAAAAATCGGATAAAAATATTTTAATAATTACTAAATATTATAAAATAACTGCTATTACAATTAATTTTAAATATATATATATATATATATATATATCAAAACAAATATAATATAATTTTTAATTTATGGAAATATTTGTTCGATTTTTAACATGACAAACTAATTCAGTTTTAGTATATCATTAAAGAACATTACGGAATCATTCCTAATAATATTATGATTTTTAACCATTCATAATTACGAGTAAAAGCTTTAATAAAAAACTTTGATAAATCTTAATTAAGACTAATTAATTCGGGTAAAACAAAAAGTAAAAAATCTTAATAAGTCACTAGATAAAAATTGTAGTTTATATAATCAAGAAATATTATAACAACTCCAATGAAGTACTCTTATATGATAATATGAGTTGTTTGAAGAAGAAAGAGAGTTACTTTTACAAGTAACTGTTGCTTAACAATTAAAAAATAAATTTCTCTCTCCCTCCATGTCTAACCGAATACCAAATTTTGGTAGGAGGCAACATTAGAACAATGAAAAACCATAGAAAACAAGAAATCAAAAGATCCACAACAAAATAATAGATCTAAAACAAGAATAATAGATTCACAACAACAGTAACAAATCCAAAACAATAAGAAAATTAAATTAAAAAAAATAAAAATGATAGAATGAAGAAGGAGAAGGTGAAGGGTGAGGGTGAGGCGGGGTTTGACTGTGGTGGGACTTGATTACGGAGGCGCGAGATTTGACGGTGGCCGGACTTGACGACATTGAAGTAATACTTAATAAAATTTATACGGATGTCATTTAAACTTTCCTCTTTCTATATATATATATATATTATGAAAGAAGGGCATTTATTGAGAAGAACTCATCGTTAACCTTGGTATGGTCCAAGTCAAAAATTGTAACTTGCAAGAAACAACAAGTGCTGTTTCTCTTATATTGACTTGGTTAAGGGGAATTATTGGTGGTAGGGTTCATTCAGCTATTACCCCTTCTTGTTGCTTGACATGTTCGTCATACTCAGACATGACTACTATATTCAGAACATGAGAAACTTCGCTTCGAACAGTTTCCTATATAAAACATATTTTCTTCCAAGAGTTGAATTCCATCCTGAACTAATCCATTTATTCAACTTACTATTACATATTTAATTATTTATGGATATGTACATCCTCAGCAGCTCAAGAGCTAACTGCATACGGTCTAGTTAGTAATCTCAACCTTCATTTCTTTCGAATTATGTTTTAGGGGTTTGTTAATATACCCTATTGGCTATTTGTTTTCAATATATTAATAATTTATAGCTATTAAGATATTATAAAGTATAATTCATTACCCAAAAAAAAAGTATAATTCATTAATGTGTTTCTTATTGAAAAAAAAAAGGTTATCATATAATTTAATATTTATGTATAATGGCATAAATATGTTTTCAATTTCTTAAATTTAAGATTTTTTTTTCTGTCAAATTTAAAATGTGTATTTTTATATAATTTTAAAAGTATTATTTTAATCTCTCTATTATTTTTCTCAAATTAATTTTTTTTTCACGTATTATGATATATCTATAAAACCAACTTGCTATGTCCCCTATATAATTTAACCCGTCAAAACATATAACACATTATTATTTTGGTATATATATAAGAATTAAATTAAGAATATGTATAATATATAGGAACTAAATTAATAATCAGCTACATATATAAGAATTGAATTAAGAATACCTAAGAGTTTAATGATCACCCAGGATTAAATTGATAACATTTATATATATATATAGGACCTGATTTAATAAATTTTTACGTATAAAATTAAATTGAGAACTTACAATAATATTTATAGAGAATAAATTTTATAATAAAAATAGTGAGTAGTAATGTAATAACTTGACAACTTATCACACTTAATCATGAAAATCGACATTAAGTAAAAGCTAAATCATGCATAAAGTAGAACGTATGAAATATTATACAAAATATCCAATATATATACAACATAAAAATATCAAATACATATAGTATATTCATTAAAGTCTAAATTACTACAAAATATCATCTAAACTAATGGTCGAGAACTCCAAAATATGAATTTACTAGAAAGTCATACAAAAAAAGTCACCTAGCGTGACTCACCACCATCCATCCAACTAACCACCTAATCTTGTTTACTCACATATCAAGTATGGTCATTGTAGTTCCAACCATAAGAAAATGAAGGATAAACTTACAAAATTAAGGGATTAGTCCACCAATTACTCTCCAATATTAAGTTAGAGATCAAGTCTTCGACCTCATACTTTATTTGATTAATTATTCAGCTAGGATATGGTTCGATTACCTCCATATTAAACCACGTAGACCTTAGAGGGAATATCACTTTAAAACAACATAATTCATCTCTAGCTTCTACATACCTTAATTAAGACATGTATCTCAATCACATGTTCACAACTTTACAACTTAATGGTTGTACTATATATCATTATATATACAACATGCAATACAAAGAACAACATATATATACCTCATAATTAACTTTAAAAAAAAAACTCAAAATAACACATGCAACTATCAACATTTCACTTTGATCCAAATCACTCTAGAACCCCATTCAAGAATGTTCCTCTTCAACCTACAAGATTCACAACTCACTCCCATTCCTCCACACAAGAATATAGCTTCCACAACAACCAAGAAAACAAAACTAAAGCAAGTTTTCCTTACTTCTTTGAGGACCAAAATCTATCTCGAGGAGAAGGGAAGAAGAAACTTCGTGCAGTACATACGATTTTGAGCCTGACTAGCAACTCAACTACTTAGAAATCTCTCAACACTCCAATCAGCTGCACAAGAAAAAAGAAAAAGGTCTTAGATTTTGAGAAGAAAAACAATCAACTCCTCTTATTTTAAACTCTCGTTAACTAAACAAGATTTTTTTTAAAAGCAACTGAACAAGATTATAGGATCCTTGCTTCCTAACTTGAGTGTCACATGTAATGTACACATACTTTGATATTTAGAAAAAGATATATCAACAAATTATATTTTGTTATAATCTTTTTCATTAGGAATCTAAAAAATCACAGGACAACATATATATGCAATTAGTTTATGATTACAACATGTGATCCATTTAATACATTACAATTTACAACATATCAAAAGACTTTATAAATCTAAATATGTATTAGATTTACCAGGAAGCTCGGCGAATTTCAGTGGATTCAATCCTAAACTAGAAGTACTTCCCACACCTCATCACATAATAAACACTATCATAACTTACACTAGAATAATGTAATAAATAAGTTTTAAGTAATATCACTCAAACTTCTGTTTCTTCTCTTGCAAACACTGGTTTAATTAAGTGCTTTGAAATCCCTATAGACGTACTATCAAAGTTCCATTCATGCAAACCTTAAGAAGATTCTATTCCATATATAATTTCTTTCATAGTCCAAGAGTTATAACAAAAAAAAACATAATATTATTCTTAGAACGCTTATATTTTTCTTAACAAATAAAATATAAGATGTACTTAAGGCCAATTAAAGTGATAAAATTTAGTAATCCGCAATTTATACAAACTTATAATAATTATCTTGAACGATAATGTTTTTTAAAATCATTTTTTTTATTTTAATAATTTATCTTATTTTATTTTATTTTTTAATCAATCATTTTATTTTTAAGTTAAATTCCAATATTATTTTTTAAAAATTACCAATAATTAAAAAAGTAACCCTATATCATAATATAATATTAGGCCTATTTCGGGAACTAGTTTCCCTCGTCTTTAGCTTATTTTGGGTTTTGTTTTTTGTTTTTTTCTTCTCTTGTAACAATAAAAATAATATGAAAAATGTTTAGCATAAATTTCAGTTACGATATGATTTATACATATCGAATAATATTTATTTATTATGATACTCATATTATTGAATCCTAATAAGAGAACAAAAATTATCTAATTAATTTATAGTATTTATTATTTTTCTTGAAAATTATTAATTGTGAGTACTTGGAAAAAAAAATAGTAATGAAAGAGACAGTTAAAAAAACAATTTTGCGAAAGGGACCAGTAATAAAATAAAAAATGACGCTATAGGTAAGGAGATGGAAGAAGCAGTATTTTCTTTTGTTTTTAATTTGTTTAACCCTAACTGTTTAACATTTATTTACGTAAAATAATCAAAGTATGACAACAACTCTCTCCACCTTTCCAACGCAGATTGGCGCGAGCGCCACGGTGCCTCAAAGTATGTCATAGAAACAGCGACTTGTGGGAGTGTGAAGCCATAATGAATCTTGAAGAAAATTTGGGGTGAAAGAGACTCACCCTTCTTCTTAAATTCAAAGGAACATGTGGTGGGGGCAATCATGGCCGTTTCATTCTCGATAAAACGCACACCTGGGTGAGGCAAGAACCAAATTTTCCACCTGCTATGCTTTGCCCTTTTTGTCTTTTTCTACCGTTATCAAATAATCATGATTTTGGATGGGTGCGTATAACTAAACCCTGCGCACTCGTCAAACGCTCGCACTGTATGGGAAATGAAAAAGCTTCTCTCCAAAATTATCTTAATTGTCCATAATATCATAGGTGTGATTGCTACACTTTTGTTCCCTTGTGTAGCTTGTCATGCATACTCGAAGTCTCGAGTGGAAGATGGACCAAAACTTTAGACAATATTTTAATTTGCAGGTATGGGACGCCCTTTCTGCAATTTTGGATAACTTTTTGGTTATTCAACTTTTAACTGTTGTCACCGTATGTTAGTTAAGAATAAGATGCGATCATAATTACAGGTCAAGTAGGCTAGTGTACTCATAATAAACAAATATAAAAAATACTAGATTGGCTTTAAGGAACGAAATGAGGACCTTTTTTGGACTTTACAGCAAACCAATCTGGAATGGATATACACCCTCCTACAAGTAGCGTTTGAATATGCGAAAAGCGATTCTAGTTTACCTTTACCGATCGATGTCAAGTAGAAAGAACTTCAAATGATGGTAATTGTTTACAAAAGAAAGAGGAAACTTTTAATCATGGCCAAACAAAAACAGGGTAAGGAATAGACGTAAATCGGCGAGAAGAGTGATGATGCCAATTAAGTATCAAGTTTTTACTTTTCATGAGTTCTTAAAGATGGTGGCTTAATAATGGCCAGCCTTGATATCGGAGTGATCATTACTTTAAGCATGATTAGTAGTGTTTCTTCGTTAATCCAAGGTACACACATATATTTTTTTAATAAATTAATGGGGCACGAAAAGAAGCCCAAGAAAGAACCAAGGATATCATACCAAGAAAGCAAACAACATTGCTAAAGATGGTAACGGGAGAAGAAAGAACATGATTCACCGTTTGACAAGCAAAGAGCACAAAGTCCCAATTCTGCGGGACAAGCGTTCTGATACCAAACCACACACCCCATAAGATAACCAACCGAATTATAAAAGAAAGAAAAACACTATCAAGACACAAATTAGTAGCACGGAAAGAAATAAACACGAAGCCATAGCATTATAGCAATATAGCATAACCATGCATCATCGACATTGTGTACAACAAATAGCAAGCGAAAAATTAAAACCTAATAATATTCCTATTACATAAATAGGATTACAAACAAAAGAAAGTAACAAAAAAGAAGAAAAATACCATAATCTGAATCACGCTGAAGCAGTAAAGCGTTATTATTAATTAATTTATGGCTTTGGTGGGTAATCACACTGAACCTTGAGTAACCTTGCTTATAACTTTAACATCCTGGCCCAACGAAGCCCCACTCGGTCTCATATCAGCGGTGACGGGTGGAAAAACCCCTTGGTACGGAGGGGCGTGCACAACGCCACCCGGCGCAGTATAGTACACCTGCCTCCCACTCGCACTATCGTACGCCACCTGTGCGTACGGAGCACTCGTACTATCCGCTATCCCACCTGGCCGCACCACACCGAATCCTTCCGTATACGCGGGAGCCTTAACAGTCTGCGCCGCCATCAAACTCGCCGCAACCGCTGTTTTAGGCGCCGGAACGCCGCCGTACACCGGCGCCTCACGGTAACCATCAGAAGCCATTCGCTGCACCGCGTAGTACCCCTGCGTAACCGGCGGCCGCACCACCGGCGTGTGGTAGAACGTCCCCGGCGCCGGAATCATGTAAACCGGCGCATCTCCGGTGGAAACCGCCGGCGGATAAGACTCGCCGGAGACACGCTTCTCCGGCCAATAGCCCGGCGCGGAGGCCGGGAAACTCGTCGGAGGAAACTTCTCCGGTACTTTCTGGATATAATAATCGCCGGCGGCGGGGTAGTTATCCTCGCTTTTCCTCCGGTAAGCAGCTTGGTCGTTCTCCGCGATTTGCATCTGCTGCAACTGCCTCTGAATCGCGTTTGGATCCGAAACCGCGACGTTAGGGTTTAAATTCAACCGCGAATTGTACTCCGGCAGCGGCGGCGGCGGCAGAGGCTCCGGCGGCTGATCGTGGAATTTGAGCGGCGGCGGCGGAGGAGGAGCAGCGGATTTGTCGAGACCGAAGAGGAAGTCGACGTTGTTGGGCTTAACGGGGTCGGAGGCGGGGAGAGAAGGAGGAGTTTCGGAGAGAAAGAGGAATAATCGCATGCGGGCGGGTCTAGCGGGAGCGCGGTAGAGTCGGTCGTACTCGTGCATCATGTGGTCGAGGTCGTCGTCGTTGGTGACGGAGATGAGAGCGTCGAGGTCTTCGCCGGGGAGCTGGTACTTGAAGGTGAGCGTGTCGTGGGGAGTGGCGTCGCATAGGGCGGAGAGCTTGGCCAGCATGGCCGGGAACTTGACGGTGCGGTCGACGGCCAGGATCTTGGTCTCTCCTCCGACGTAGGAGAGCTGGTTGTCGTGGGTGCGTGGCTGGATCTTGCCGCCGTAGCTGCACATGAACTTTGCTTTGTAGTTTTGGTTCTGCTCGTCCCATGGCGGTGGGTTCTCGAATTCTATCTCTCTTGAACGCGGTGATGACTCCCCTGAGTCTGGGTACGATTGGTATGAGTAGTTCTCCATCTTCCTTCTCTCCTTCGCTTAACCTTCCATTATGCTTTGCTTCACACACTTTGCCACAGGTATTATATTATTATTATTAATATATCCTTTCCTTTTTCAAATATCTTCTTTTTATCATGCCTACACTACATACTCATCAATTTTACCTAATCATTTTTTGGAAATTACTCCCCCACTGCCAGGGACTCTCGAAATATTCATTTTTTTATGTGTTTTCATATAAAACACAAATATTCGAATCTTAAAAAAATTAATTTAAAAACATACGTTACTACTATTTATTTCGACTAATGTGAGAATGTTGATGGGATGGAGTAGCCTATAACTTGATTCTTTATGTTTGTGCCTTGTAAGGCTGGCAATGGCATCTTATTAGTCAAATTAATTACTTGTATCTTGTCCAGATCAAATATACTACTATCTTTATAACTGCTGGCCGCACTTCCTTATTATTTAACACTCGCGAAAATTTTCATAGAAAAAACTAACACTTGGTGAAAAATAAAATTAAGTGTATGTACATGATAAAAAAATAGAAAGAAAGAAATATTAGATGTGAATGGAACGTATAAAGGAAAATAATGTAATGTCTATCATCACTCGATTTCTAATTTGTAGTGTCTGCATGACCAATGTAACGTCTTAATTGGGTGAAACCTACTTAATTGACTAGGACACTAGGTATACAGCTAGCAGGAGTGCAAGTTAAAATCCACAAATTGTGCTCCCGGGTAAGGAAACCTGCGTATGATATTGCTGGTTAGTACCATCAAAAGTTGGTTTAGTCGATACAGTTTGAATCCCACACTTTTTAACATATTCATTTTTTTTAATTAAAATTTATTACAAATTATAAAATTAAGGAAGAGTCATTAAATAGGATATGTAACTTACAAAAGATTTATGTTTTTGTTAATAAAATTTAATCAATTAAAGAAAATCTATTTTAAAAAATGTGGCAGAGTAAGTTGTTAGTATTTTTCATTAGAAGAATTTGAGATTAATATTTTTTTCGATGTAACTTCAAATTTCGCTTTGATGTAAGCATTTTATTGATAAGCAATTTATAAATATTTTTATAAGGATTAAATAATTTTTAAATTTCTGTAAAATTAGATATTTTTGTTTTTAGCCTTTAATTTTTTTTATTTTGATCTTTGTATTTTTTTTCATTTTTATCTTTATTATTTTATTTTAGTTTTTGTAATATATCTATTTTTTTTTCATTTTAGTCTCGATAATATTTTGTTCATTTTAAGTTACTCCTTTAAAAATAAAAAATAGTAGGAACTAAAAGCAAACTATTCACATGTGACAAGGAAAAAACAATGAGCTGTAAAAAAGAAGAAGGAAAACAATGAGTATATTATAAGGACTAAAATAAAATAATAAGTATAAAAATGAAAAAATAAATATAAACACAAAATGAATTTTCTTAAAAGAACTATAAAAAAAAACTTTGTTTTACATGAATAAAAAATTATTTAAACTTTTCCATAAATAATTATTTTTTGGTCTTCAACGCTATTTTGATTCGGATCAGTTTTTGAGACGACATTCACCTTAACTGTAATTCATAATATATATAATCTATTTTTTTTAATGAGTTTTTAAACATATTTAAGTTAAATAAAATAAGCAGTTAAAGAAATAATGTGTAAAGAATGTATTAATAACATTTCTCTATTTTATAATTATATAACTCAAACTAATTCAATTAATTGGATCATCCTAATTTATATATTAATATAATATTTAAGAACAAGATGGACCTTTCTGATAAATACAAATGGATATGCGGGTTGCCTTCCCCCATACGACACTACTGCCACAAACCCATTATCAAATGGGTTGGTCCAGTAAGATCATATTTAAAATTAGTTTAGACAGTTTTTTCTCAAAATATTTATAAAAATAAAAAAAAATTGTCATAAATTAAAATTAATTTATATAAATTAAAATAAAATTTTAAATAAAATTTAATATAGAGAACTTTTACGAATTAACTTGTGATAAGTTAAATTTAGATAAATTTGTTTTTTTTTCTCTCTAAGTATTTATTAGAAAAATTATCCATATTTTTTTATAAATTAATTTATCTAAATATCCTGTTAATGAGTTAGTCCGTAGTCAGTCCACAACTTTTTTTAATATTTATAAATTAAAATAATTAAAAGATGAGGATATATTTTTAATTGCTGTGAATTAAAGGATTGGTGTATGAATTGATAAATTAAACCCATTTAACTCATAAATTATGCAAAACAATATACATAAACATGCACTTAAATGAATTACTTGTTCCAGTTTTGTGGTGATGAGAAGCATAAGTAAGTTCTCTGCATAAGGTATATATGATTGTGCAAAATATGCTCCTTTACTTTTGCTGAAGGGAAATACAGTACTTCCTATTCGTGTGTTTCCGTTTCCATCGGCCACTCTTCTTGCTTTGTCTCTTTGCATTATAAAAAGGAAGTGGGACACACTAATTAAATAATTTCACTTCCACTCTATCCCAAACCAAGTCAAAGTCAAATTATGAATATGTTGCGGGCCCGTATTATAATGAAACAATGCAATCGTAATATACAAGTAAATAATTATTTATTCACGAAGGAGAGAAATAACAAGTACATATTTTAGGCTTTGTTTGGATTTGAAGATGGAAAAGGGGGAGTGGAAAAGGAAAGATTTGAAGGGAAAGTGAGTGGAAAGTGAGGTTGTTTGGATTAAGGGAAAGTGAGTGGAAAGTGTAGAGAAAGTTTGTGAAAGTTTGTGAGTGAATTGATTGATGTGATAGATAAAAATAAATTTTTTAATTGATAATTGTGTAAGATTACTATTTTACCCTTAAGTTAAAAAAGTTTATAATTATTATAATTAAAAAATAAATATATAAATTTTAATTTAAAAAATTATAAAATATTAAAAATAATTTAATTTAAATATTTACTTTAAATTTAATGATAGATAAAAATTAAAAATTTAATAAATAAATATGATTTATACTTTTACCCTTAGATTAAAATGAGTATAATATTATTTATTATAAATAATAATAATTACAATAAAAT